TCAAGTTTGTTCGTCTATGTTCAATCCCTTGTTACGAAGAGTTATTGGGAGCGAACCGCTAGATGTTTAAGCGAGAGTGTCAATCTCGAACCGAACAATTGATTGCCCGGTTTTGCTAAGAACTTGAATAAATTATCCCCGATTCCCTAGCTTCCCTATCTTTGTTTCGTTCTTTTATTCTTAGGTAGATTGTTGTTTTTATATTATTTCTTAGTTGGTAATTATTCTACCCCCATCCTGATTAGAGTATTTAAGATTTATTTTTCGTTTTTGTGTTATCATTACCAATTCTAAATTTCGAACCGCCTTCCTCGAGAGATGGACCCGGGAAACGAATCATTTGACTCGGTACTCGGTAAAAATAACAATTTGTACTACAACACTAACACAAGAAAATCACTATTTATATCGCGCCACTCACCGACAACGGCGCCAAAATTTGACCGCGTGTCGTTACACGGCAAATTTGAATTTATAAATTCTCCTCGTCTAAGCCCTACTAATTAGTAGTAGTGGGAGCAAGGGTCGATCCCACAGGGAATGTGGTATAAACCGTGATTTTATTATATTAATTAGATTAAAGTAAAAAGGGGGGGTTTTTGATTAAAAACGAATCTTCTAACGGAACAAGAAATTAAACTAGAACTCGAGATGAATGATTAAAGTGCAAATGATGATGAAATAGAAAATAAATAAATAATCTAGTGAATATGAGAATGAAGTCGGTCTCAGGTCTGTCTACACCCTCGAACAACTAGCCCAATTAATGCATTTGTCAAATTTCACTCGTCTTCTAAAACTACCGGTCCTAGATAGCAATAAGCTCTGCTACCCGAATTTTCCCTTAATTTATACTTAATCGAAATAGGCACTTCAATTAATTCTAACTAGCGAATAACTCGGAATAAGCTCTCCTAATTTAATCTACTAGTCGCATTAAAATCTAGGAAAATAGACCGTACTAAGCCACAAACACATAAGCTCGGTTCATGTAACTTATGTTGTGTTATTCTTAACAATGCACGACTGTTAGTTGCTACAATTGAATTAAGAACTACGACAATTACGGATCAAAGCCTCAACTCTAGCAATTAACATGCAATTCCTAACTTAGGTGATCAAGCTAAATTAAAAATCACACATTATGACATGAAACTAGAATAACACAAACAATTTTATACGACGAGTAAAACAAAATAAATAGCATTAATCAAACATAGTCATCGAGGGTTCAACGTCCCTAGAACCGAATAAATGTTTAGCTACACATAGCTAAATGATAAAAACAATAATAATTAAACATGGTCTTCAATCGAAATAAATCAAAACGAATTAATAAAAACAAACTCCTTGATCACACGGCACAAATAAATTGTTGAGCAAGAATGGTTGATCTCCTTTCCCCGCACTCCATTCACGTGTGTCCAAGCCTCCCCAGATGAATGAATTAATTTCCCCTTTTCTCTGTTTGATGCCACGCCGAGTCCATAGGAATTAAGAGTCCCACAAAATTCCAATACCTCTCAATTAATTGTCCTCGGTCAATTCTCAATCCCAACATATTTAGAATCCAAGTGCCATTAAACTCTCCATCCTGTAGCCAACAATAATATTCACTAATCAAAAGTCCCACCAATGAATTTTGAGATCTCAATGCTGCGTGTATTTGGTCAAGTTAACTTGTAATCCTCCTCATTATTTATTTAATTAGCCACCTCATCATTACCACGTCGCAAATCGGGGTAATAACTGTAAGATAAACACAAAATCCAAATATTGGTGTATGTCCATTCATAAAATAAAATACGTGAGAAAACTTGAATAATACACTAAAATCTAATACTCAAATATGCAAATTATCTCACAAAATAATACAAGATTTCCCACGTATCAATTAGACACTAATCTTGGATCCGCATATTGATCTGAGACATTTCTACTGCCCACTGAATGATTACTCTGATGTTTAACTACTTCTTCAAGAATTGGTTTCTGGGTTTGGGATGGAGAGTCATTTGAGTTACCAGTACTACTTGAAGAAGCAGCCTTCCCCCCAAAATGCCCCTCCACTGCCTTCATCCATTTTCCATATTCACCTTCTTTTAAATCCTCTTTCTCTATATCAACCAGCCTTTTAGAACAAGATCTTTCTAAATGGCCCACCAACCCACAGTAGAAGCAGAACTTTACCAGTCTTTCATAGTGGAATGCAACTAACTTCTAAGTATTGTTTAGCTTTATGTTTGCAAATCTTGGTAATGGTTGAAGAACATCAATCACCTCCAATAGCCAAAGAAGGCTCCCTCTATTCCCACCAGCCTTCACCACAGTTACATTCAAAGTTCTCTTAAACATCTGTCCTAACTTGATTCCCACTTCTGAGCAAAGCCAAGTAAGAGGCAGATTGTTAACTTGAACCCACAATTTCAATTCTGAAACATAGGATGCTTTTCAGATAAGCCTTCTTCCTATTCTATGAGAATTAAGAACTGGTTTTCAAAAACCCAATTAGCCTCAGCCGCCAACTTCTTTTATCCGCTACACTACCAAATACAAACTGAAAGAAATTCGTTTTAAGTTCCCTAACCTCAACTAGATGTTGGATTTGCCAGATTAGACCTGATATAGCCATATTAGGATATACCGGTTCATGTGCTTATTGCTCGATCGAGATGGCGAGTCGAACCGTCCGTATGTCGACATCCATAAGTTGATGCACTTAAGTCGACCTCCCGACGGTTGACATCTCTTCATGATTAATTCAAAGGAAGATGTCGGTTTTATTAAAGTCGACGTCCTCAAAGTCGACTTCCCATAGTCGCCTCCCAAAGTCGACCTCCGTCAAGAAGATGAACAAGCGGAGCCTCCGAACATATTCATGAGAATCCTAAGTCGACCTCCTGATGATCGAGGTCGACTCCCTTCACTTCGAGGATCAAAATATACTGACGACTTGAGACACTTGCAGTGTCTCCTAACATGTCTCATAAATACAGGAGAATCTTGACTGGATAAGAAGGAATCTTGAGCTGACTAGAAGGTAGCTGGAAGACGAACCGACCGGGGTATTCCGGACATTTCAAGTAAGTCGACCAGGGAATTTTGGGTACTTCAAGTAAGTATTTTCTCCTATGTAAAGGGACTGAGGTAGTCCTAAACCCTAACTTCTATTCATTCTATACACTTATCCTTCCATTTCTGGCAACTGCTCACTCTGAGCAGATCTCTCATCTCTTTCACATACTGACTTGAGCGTCGGAGGCTCTACGCCGGAAACACTTGCGGCGTTGAGTTCTGGCAGGTGTTTGCAGCGGTCTAGTAAAGATTTGGAGGCGGTTCAAACAGATCAGAGCTCATTACCACCGGTTCACTCTAGATCTGAGAGTAGACCCAACAAGACCCATCGTGTGTTTAACTCCCATGAGATTGGCTCTTCTGTCCCCAATTATTTTCCCAAATAAACTGCACCCACATTCTTCTTTGCAAATACTAATATCATCTTCCTTTAGCTCTAAGACAGAATTCTCGCACTACGATAAATTAATATTCCGAAATCGAATTTCAATCTCCTCATAGATGCTCCCCTCTTTAGTGGCTCCTGCAACCGGAGAATCCATCTGGGAGACCTGCTAAAACAAGAAACAAAAAACACAAAAACCCCAACCTCACACTCCACAAAGCGAACGAACCCAAACCTAAGAACCCAAACCCAAAATGAAAATATAGACAAAGANACGAGTTTATTTCATAAGCTTCTTTGGGTAGCCTTTCAAATAAGCTCGTTGAAATTTTTATTTCAACTATCTTATCAGCTGATTTTTACTAAACACTTTTATCATAAAGCTAGATTTCAGCTATAAGTTATAAGCTCGGAAATTACTGATAAGCTATAAGCTAGCTTATCACCTATCAGCCACTTTTACCAAACTTAACGTTATTTGACTTTTAAATTTGGAACTCAAAACATTAAATTCTCTTATATATTTCATATGTGTGTGTGTATGTGTGTGTGTGTGTGTGTATATATATATATATATATATATATATAGTGAATTTGAAATGTTTAGAAATTTCTGTTCAAATTTTTCAACTAATTCTCTAGAAATTTCTAAATTTAGTGAATTTGAAATGTTTAGGTGAGATTTTCAGGATGCTTGGATATAAAAAAATTTAGATTTGTTTGGATTTTTTTGTTTTGGTTTGGTTAATTTTGAAAAAAGGTGGTATGGTTAGTTGTTAGTGGGTATATTAAAATAATATTTAAAACAAAATAATTAAAGTTGATTTAATATAAAAGTAGAAGATAGATGGTTTGAAGTGATGATTAGTGGATGAAGAGTGAATTAAATTTGATATGATGTATAAGAATAACTGATTGATATTATTTAATTATATTGCTAATATTGATGATAGTGGGGTTGAGTTAAAATTGAGAAAAAAAAATAGTTGAGTTAAAAATAATTAAATTTTTTTGGATAAATTTGTATCCAAGCATAAAGTTTTAAAATTTCATCATTTTCAAGTAACAAATTTTAATCAATTAATAATTATTTTATAAAATTTAAATAGTAATATATTGATTTCTTCAATTATTTTTAGTGAGGAAAATTATGAGAGCATACGCAAAAAGGCTCCCAGAAATCTAAAGTTGGCAACTTTGGAAAAAGGGAATAAGAAAAAGGAATTAAAGCAGTATGCATAATGGATGATGAATCTGATGAGAAGCTGTATTTCTTATCCCATCGTAGCTAAATTATAAACCTCTCTATGCAGGGGATCAAGCTCGATTTGTGTATCAAATAAGGAAAAAAAAAAAATCAAAAGACTGAGGTTCATCAAAACTTGAAATTTATTAGGCTCCATTGAAAATGAGGGATTTGAATTTCTAAGAGACACTCGCATAAAATTATGTATTTGTTTCTAATCAATATTTTGGATCGGCCTACCTAACGATTAAACCGATTCATTCAAAAATTTATATCAAAACTTGTGTTTAAAAATATTGAAGGGAAGAATCAAAATTTTTAATGCACATATAATAAAGTTTCCTAATTTCCATCACAAATAAACGTACCACACCACACCACACCACCGAAAATTGCACCAGATTGAATTACTAAAACCTCTCTGCATTATATGGCATATCACTCTATTATACACTTGCAAAATTAAAAAACTAAAGAAACTCACACCAAAACATTCCCAATGAGCTAGCTTAGTATACAAAGACCCATGAACTAGTAAAACTTCAATTCCTCCAAGAGCCTTGACCTCGCTTTAAGAGAGACACATAAAGCAACTCGTTCCAAGTGTCGGGTACTCCAGGGAGGCACCAATGGCTGCAGTCTTGTGCGTGTATTTCTTGCTGAGCTGCATGGAAATCCGGCCTGTAAATCGAGGGGTGCCCGTCTTTCCTATAGTCCGTTAGACGGCTTATGTTGAGATATGTGATGGGAGTTTTCATCCCCTTGAGCACGTACTCCAATATCTTCATTTTCGAAGGGTAGTTTACCAAGTGAGTCTCGTTGAATATCGGTTCTGTTTCTTTGTGGCATTGGCCTCCCGAGTTCCAAGGTCCGCCTCTGTACAATAAATGCACCGTTGTAATTCGCTCGTGTAATTAAAGCTTTCAGTTACCGAAATTACTCTCGACGTTTAGTCTAATTACGAAAAACTAACGGACTATGTTTGGTAAAACTAGCTGATTTGCAGAACTATGTCGAATAAATGTTGAAAATGACTAAATGATAATAAGCTTATGTCAAGACTCTGTAGCTGATAAGCTAGCTTATGTCAAAAGTTTAGTCTAATTACTAAAACTACCCTCGACGTTTAGTCTAATTACGAAAAACTAAAGGACTCTATGTTTGGTAAAACTAGCTAATAAGCTAGCTTATATTGCTATGAAGTTTTGAAAAGGTAATCTCATAAAATATGAAAGTTCAAAATTATTTAGCTAACTATGTCAAATAAATGTTGATTGACCCAAGTATGTACTTCAGAATGTAATTATCAGAACATTCAAACTTTAATTGAATGCAAAACTATGTCAAATAAATGTTGATTGAACTTTTTGTGAAAATCAGTGTCACTAACTATTTCCAATACCTTATTAAGTATATTTCAGCTTCGCAAACCATATGCTTTTAATGAAATCTGCACTATTTAAGTAATTTACAACAATTATGAAACTACACTTTGCAAGATAGGAGATGAAAGGTTGCTGAAATTACCTAAAATGCGTGACCGAATATCCCCTGAAAATAACTTCAGTTTTGTTAACGTCAATATTTTTATCGACCCAACGAGCCCAAGTGGCAAGTGCTCGCTTGAATGCTTCCAAAACTTTAAGTCTTGGGTGAACATAGTCTCCTTCTTGGTAATAGTCTTCACTGTAAAAATAAACAACATGGCTCAAATAAATACAAAATTTTAAAAGGAAATGATGAAATCTATTACTGATAGTGCTGTTGCATTAAGTTGAACAATATTGTAATTTTGGTATCTGTTTACTTCTGTTGATAAACGACCCCTGTTTCCGCTGGTGAGCTTACAAGCTACAATGCCTGAATTTAGCAAAATTTTCCATTGAAAGACTTTATACGCTTTTAAAATAACATGTCTGGAGCTTATAAATTATTAGGGGATAAAAAATGGAACCTTCTTTTAACAAGCACCTTTGGCTCTGCCTACCTTAATAAAAAAGATGTTGCAACCTCACAAATGAGCTCCACCATTTTATTTTATCCAAACACATTTCCAAACTAAAAATCCAACATATTAGAAGCTCCCACAACCACCTTAAAGATTTTTAAATGAGCTCAGCAACTAAAACTAAGTTAAGAAAAAAAAAAAAATAAAAAATAAAAACTCTCAAAGAGAGCTTACCCGCGTGAGGTTTTTTCGTGAGTCCACCAATGCCCGGTATTGAAAATTATAACATCAGCATCGTGGTACATGGAAGTAGTACCATCCATCAAATCCAATCTCAGAGTATCAAACGAGCCATTTTTCCCACTGTAAGTTGATTCCTTTACAAGAAAAGGAGAGCTAACAAAGTCCACCGAGCAGTCATAATCCTGAGAATGCAGCCGAGGAACAGGCAAACATTATTTTCTTTATTTCTAGCATATTGTTTAGATTCTTAAATCATTTAAAAATTTATGGTGAGCATACCTCGAACCTGAAAGCATAAAACCCTTTCTTCTTGAATTCATGTCTTCCTGAAATCTCATAAACTCGGGTTTTGTCCTCAACGCCATGGCGGAGAACGCAAACAAGCGACTCCCACATGTTCCTATTTAGAGAGTCCCCAACAAACACTAACTTTTTTCCTCTCAGCCTCTCAAGAAAATCAGTTGCATTGAACCTGGTTAAGCAAGATTCCCGCTAAATTTAAATGCATTCACCAATTTGTTCGAAAACAAGATTCGTATTAAGTGAACCAATCTGTACGCAGTCTACACAGAGATATTATAAAGAATTACAATAACTGGAGTTCATTAGGTTCTGGACATCACAAAAGTAGAAATGAGAATAGTTTTATGCGAAAAATGAAACAAATACAGCTAAGATGAATAACTGGTCAAGGCACTGGGAGATGTCCAAATGTAGCATCAATACATCCAAATTTCAAATTTATTCGAGATACTAACTTTGAACACATAACAATCACAATTATGCTTTCTTGTCGACTGAATTACTACAACTACAAACAGAACAGAAGCTGCAATTAAACATCTACATACATGAGTGCACATCATACCACCTATAAACCATCAATTGATGTATTTAATATTTTCATAATGGGTGAGCATAAATACTAATAAAAATATCTCACCTGGGGATGTCACAATCATACGGCTGCCATCTCCATCTTACATACTCATTATCTGGCCTCCCATTTGCATGACAATCAAAATCCTTATCGATATAAGGACATGAACTCGGTGGATAATACGGCTTTGTATCGTCTCTCACCCATCTTCCACTGAAAACATCACAGTTCTTGAAAGATCTACTGCTTGCAGAAAAACCCTTTGTCCCATTATCCCTTAAATTACCATTAACACTTTTATTTTTCACATCACTACGAAAATCACTCACATTTTCACCTCTTTTCACCACTTTCCCTCCATCTTCAACAACAAAGCTTCCATTCTTATATTCAGTCTCATTTCCCAAGTGGGCACCCTCAAGAGCCTCTTTTTCCCCTGCAGAATTCACTGAATCTACAGTTCTATTACTTCCTTTAGTATTTGCCTCAAGGGAAGCATTCACAGGGCTCTGTGAAGACTGAACAACACCAGTATTATTAAACCAACTTGAAGTAGTATTATTATTACCAGAAGACCCGAAGGGTGAAGAAAGAGAAGTACTATTTTTATTTTGGGAAGAAAACCTATAAAGCCCTTGAAATAGAGGGCTAAAACCTGGAGCCTTGGATGAGAAACTGAACAAAATTACGGTCAGGAAAATGAAAGAAAACACAACGCTTAAACCAAATGGGGATGCAAACTTTTTCCGGGCAGAGGATAGGAACTGATCTGAGAAGGTGAGCTTCTTCAATCCTGAAAAGGTCGAAGAAAAAGAACTCGCCATTTTCTGAAGAAATATGATATTACATTACATGACCCAAAACGGAAAATGCAATGAAAATATTCTTTTCCAGTAATATGTGTGACTACTGCAACTTCGTATTTCTATTGATTTTTTTTTTTTTATTTTATTTTTTTTGCAAGTGTTCAGAAATGGAAAAAATGAAGAAAGATGATCAGTTTGTGGTGTGATACTGTGATTTGGGAAAAAGGTGAAAGAAAAGGAAAAAAAAAAGAAAAAAGAAACAAGTGAAAATTTTTCAGTGATTTTTGTATGGTGCCAAGAGAGAGAGAGGAGAAAGGTTATTCGTACAGTCAATCGTTGAAATGATGATTTTGCCCTTTGCCCACAAAAAAAGTGACAACGTCAACAAAAATTCAAATTGGAAAATGACCTATAATCACGCAGCAGATATTATCATCTAATTGAAAATGAATGTGGTAAAAATATTTCAATTTGATTTTTGAGAATCAGTTTTAGTCAATAAAAGAATGAAATCAGAATCCCTACTTAGGGTAGAGCCAGATATCCATAAAACTTTACTAATTTTGTCATCCAATTTCGTTTATATGTTTTATTTTGGCCTTCTTTGGTCCAATGGAGAATAAAATCACATAATCGAGGATTGAACTTTTTATATAGAGATATTAGTATACGAATTGGTTAATATGAAATATAATCTTTTTTCCTTTGTTTGGTAAAATAATAATAGGGTTGAGAATAATGAACTTGTATATTTTGCAATTGTATATTCGGTTGCCTTTCACCTATAGTTCATGATAATGATTAAAAAAAGTAATAATATAAGTAGCTAATTTGTACATATATATTATATCTATACTTATATGAAAGGGAGTCATATTTACCAAATTTAGTAGCTAGAAAAGTCAACAGCATTTATTGTCATTACTATTTCCGTATTATACAGTTTTATTTAATATTTGTCTTTCTGTTCCGATTTTTAAAACCAGATATGGTCAAATTCTCTCATCATTAATTACTTTCCATTAATTATAATTTATTTATTTATTTTTTTCATAGCAAAAACGGACCAACATTAATTGATTTCTTAAAATGTGGAAGTTGTTGCTTTATTTTTGTACAGAAAATTGAGCTTCATTATAGAAACTTGTTCAATTACACAATGAATTTTCTATGATATAATTATATTTTATGGGAATTTTTTTTAACAGAAAAATATGGCATTTCAATAAGATTTTCGATTTTTTAAGACTGATCGTTATCATGTTATGAAATTGAACATTCCAATATACCTTAACAAAATATATACGTGGTGTATACATCAGTTAATAGAAATATAGAATCCTCATATTTTTATATATACGTATGTAATTTTTCTATTACCAAATTTAATTGATAGTTGTTGTGTTATGAGTTTTTTCATAATTGTTACTTAGTTGTTGTGATATTTAGTTTGGTTGGTGTCGCAAAAATTCTAATCTATATATATAATAAGATAATCATTACAATTAAAATTATAAAAATATTGATATTAGAAGAGATTGAGTTCATGGCTTTTCTTAAATCAAAGTTGTTTAATTAGTATATGTTGTGATTATTTTTGTTACGTTTTTTTACTGTTATTTTACATTTATTTTCCCTCATTTTTAGGTCTTTTAGAAGGTCTTTCGGTCCATTTAGTTGTTTTCGGTTATTTTTGTTGTTCTAGTATTTATTGTGTATTTTGTGGTTTTTCGTGTGTTTTTGTGTATTTTCGTGTGTTTTTGTGTTTTTCCGGTTTTTGGGGTAATTTCAGGTATAATAAGTCTGGATTTTCGAGAGTTATCGTTTCCGACGCATTGGTATCGAGCCCCGTGAAGATTTGAGTTACAAGATAAATTGCTCTTTTGAGCATAGCTGGAAAGAAGAGCTCGTTAGTAACGCGTAGGAGAAAACGGAACTAAATTTCGAGTCCGAATGATCCCAAACGAGAAAGAACCGTAAAGCCGCGCAAGTTGCCCAAGCCTCGCGCCGCGGCCACTTTTCAGCATAACTTTGGGGCAACTTTTGTAACTAATTGTGGCCAGTATATGACATTGAATTGAAGAGGGGTTCGTTAGCTACGCGTAGGAGAAAACGGAACTCAATTCCGAGTCCGGACGAGCCCGTACGAGCCAAAACCGTAAAACCGCGCAAGCTGCCAAGTCTTGTTCAACATGGGCGGCGCCCACTTTTCAAACATGGATGTTGGGCGGATTTTGGAAGATTTTGGGCTGATTTTTGATAGATATGCTAGCCATTAATGCATAATGATCTTAAGATGATTTTGATGTGATTTTGTCCCCTCTTGAACTAGTATAAATACATCATTTGTGAGAGGTCTTAAGGGGGAGTTCGGAAAGGAAGTTTTAGCTTTAGTTCTTAGATACAAATATTAGAATTAGTACAAACACTTTCTAGTGTTCTTGATGTTCTTGTTCTTGTTTTTATTTTCATTTGGTACTTGAAACACTTGTGTGTGTAATTTTATTTTATGTTGTGAGTTAAAATTCGAGTGTTTATCCAGTTAAAATCCGAGTGTTATTCTGTAAATTCCGTTCCGTTAAGACGTTATAAATTTATATTCCGATTATTGTTATTGCAGTCGTAATTATTCTTATTGTTCCTAAAGGAATGATTATGAATATTATTACTACAATAATAATAGTTGTGGATACTTATTAATATATATATATATATATATATATATTTATATATGTTATAAATATTAACTATTATTGCTTAATGTTATTGCTTATTTCTACTGTTGTAATTTTATTGCTTTATTTACTTTACGCACTTTACTCCCTGCCAATTACTTATCGCATATATATATATATAGAAATATTATTATTATTATTATTAGTATTATTATTACTATTATTACTGTAATTTACTTTCTGCACTTTACTTTCTGCACTTTACTTTCTGCAATTTACTTTCTGTTTATATACTATTATTACTACTATTATTATTATTATTATTATTATTATTATTATTATTATTATTATTATTATTATTATTATTATTATTATTATTAATATTATTATTACTATTATTACTACTATTGTAATTTATTTCTGTTATTTACTGTTTTGCTTTTCCAGTTGACTTTCTGTTATTTACTGTCTTTCTTTTCTGTTTCTGTAATGTTATGTAAATTTCTAGCTGTAATCAAGCAAAAATCTGGATTAATTTTCTGCATTATTATATATATAAAACAAATTGAATTACACATAATATAGTTCGATTGACCAGTCCTTGAGATCGACCCGGGAAACGAGTTTTTAACTCGGTGCTCGGAAAAATATAAAACAAAATTTGCTACAACAGTATACAAAATTAAATTCTAAAAATATATATGTGTATATTTTGTACATTATTTATACACTATTTAATTTTAAATTTATTTACATATTTTAAATTGATTATTTATATAAATAATACCAACGTGCATTAAATATAGTTCATCATATAAAATAAAAAGAACAAGAAGACGTGTAACTTGTATAACTTTATAAATAATAATGACATTATATGGCAACAGAGTTTAATATTTAACTATTATATAGGGACTAAGAATAAGTAAAATTGTTATTTTCTCTTATATCAAGGAATAAATATATATAATAAAATTAAATTTATATTAGTATAAATGTGTTAGTGAGATAATGTATTAATTATTTTACAAGTTAACCTTAACATGCTCACGTTTAATGTTTAGACTAATAAAACAACGCTGATTAAAAGATGTGAAAAATAGATTACAACCCTATTTTTTTTAGACTTAACGGTGATTAAAAGAGGTGGAAAATATATGATAACTCTTTTCAGACTTAAACGAGACTTACCGGTGATTAAAATAGGTGGATATAATAACCCTTCTCAGACTTAAACGGACAGAGCCTGTAAAAATAATTCATTTAATATCTTTCTCCCGTGCATCGCACGGGGTACGTACTAGTATATAGAAAGGATCATATGAGAAAGGGAGATAGTGAAAGAAATAAGAATGATTGTAGGTCATTAGATTCATCAAGTCAAACATAAGGTGTCAGTGAACATGTTAAGGTAAATATATACAATTAACCATTATGTAAGGACAAAATGGACATTTACACTCTCCACTCACCCATCCACGCAGACCCCACCCATCCCACCTGTTGTTCTATGAAACTTAACAACTCAAATAAATAAAAGCAATGTGTAATTAAAAGGAAAGAAATGTAAAAATTTTTTGTATCATTGATTATTTCACGAGAGTACAGGAGGTTGGTTTTTGTAAGTAACTGAGATGTTTTTATAGTTCGTGTACAATGTGATGAAAAAGATCCTTGTACAGTCATAAATTCCGCTATTTATAGTACGACAATTTTGTCTTTTTGTCCGAGATAGATCAGATCGCATTTAAAATTGAGCAGCTTCAATAAAGCGGGTGTAATGCAATGAGGGAACATCAATGATTATTATTTGACTAGATGGTCCAATCAAAAGTGTACTGCTGTAACGCCCCACTTTATTTTAAAGGATTTATCGAATTTATTTAATAAAAATCACAATAAATTTTTCGCAAAATTTTAATTTAATTAAAAACTCAGTGGGCGCTACTCAAATTTACCAAAAGCCTTTAACCAAAAATGCAAACTTATCAAATAAAGACAGCATGCACGAATAATAAATCATAAACCAAACTGGCATTCATTAGGTTCCAAATCATAAAGATAATTCACAATTCCAAGTTCAAAACAACACAATCATAATATCTCAACATAAATGAGCGGAAGCAAATAAATAAGCGATAAATAAAAGCATGACCACCACCCGTCTTGTCTCGTCACCCGCCGACTGCTTAACCTGCATCAGTTACGAGCAGGTGGGAGTGAGTACAGTTAACTATCGTACTCACACTATGCATATGAATAACGTAATAATGGTATGGTCGCAGCATGAACATAAACAATAAAATCATGTCACATCTCTAGCCACATCAATGACTATAGTCT